ACACACATCTTTTCATTTTTTTATTATCACATTTATTGACATGGGAAAAATTATCACGATAACAGTCAAAAATTTCGATAACGATAAATTTTTGTTTTCTTGTCCGGGGATTGGACCGCCAAGGCTCCCACCTTGGTCTGCCACCCGATTCGCATTGCACCGGACCCTTCATGTTCCTCCTGCAGGTGGTGGGTCCACAGTTGGACGAGCCCATGTATCCGGTTCGGGCTGGGCCCGGCCGGGCCCCATGGGCGAAAGCCCGGCCACCAGGCGCTCGCTCACGGGCCCCAACCCCAGGCCTGGCTCCAGGGTGGGACCCCGGTAACCCTCCGGGCCGGGTACTCCGACTCTTCGTTTTAACCGCCATGAAAGATGTTTTGGACACCCGAGTGAAGAGAGGGGCGGAGCTGTCAACTGATCACCACCTGGTGGTGAGTTGGATCAGATGGCAAGGGAACATGCCGCGTAGACCTGGCAGACCCAAACGCATAGTGAGGGTCTGCTGGGAACGCCTGGCAGAAGAACCTGTCAAGACGGTCTTCAACTCCCACCTCCGGCAGAGCTTTGACCACGTCCCGAGAGCAGTGGGGGACATTGAGTCCGAGTGGGCCTTGTTCCACTCTGCGATTGTCGAGGCGGCTGTTGCTAGCTGTGGTCGTAAGGTGGCCGGTGCCAGTCGTGGTGGCAACCCCCGTACCCGCTGGTGGACACCAGAGGTTCGGGGAGCCGTCAGGCTGAAGAAGGAGGCCTACAGGGCGTGGCTGGTCTGTGGGTCTCCGGAGGCAGCAGACAGGTACCGGATAGCCAAGCGGGGTGCAGCAGTGGCAGTTGCCGAGGCAAAATCTCGGGCGTGGGAGGAGTTTGGTGAGGCCATGGAGAAAGACTATCGATCGGCTCCAAAGAGGTTCTGGCAAACTGTCCGGCGCCTCAGGAGAGGAAGGCAGCAACTCGCTCACACTGTTTACAGTGGGGATGGGGAGCTGCTGACGTCAACTGAGGCTATAGTCGGACGGTGGAAGGAATACTTTGAGGAGCTCCTCAATCCCACCAATGCGCATTCCGAGGAGGAACCAGAGCTGGGAGGCCTGGGGATGGACTGTCCGATCTCGGGGGCAGAAGTTGCTGAGGTAGTCAAACAACTACACAGCGGCGGAGCCCCGGGGGCGGATGAGGTTCGTCCTGGGTATCTCAAGGCTATGGATGTTGTAGGGCTGTCATGGTTGACACGTCTCTACAACATTGCGTGGTCATCGGGGGCAGTTCCTAGGGAGTGGCAGACCGGGGTGGTGGTCCCCATCTTTAAGAAGGGTGACCTGAGGGTGTGTTCCAACTACAGGGGGATCACACTCCTCAGCCTCCCTGGAAAGGTCTACGCCAAGGTACTGGAGAGGAGGGTCCGATCGATAGTTGAATCTCAGATAGAGGAGGAGCAATGTGGTTTTCGTCCTGGCCGTGGAACTGTGGACCAGCTCTATACCCTTGCAAGGGTGATGGAGGGGGCATGGGAGTTTGCCCAAGCAATCCACATGTGCTTTGTGGATTTGGAGAAGGCTTATGACCGTGTCCCCAGGGGCATCCTGTGGGGGACGCTCCAGGAGTATGGGGTGGGTGGCTTTCTGTTAAGGGCCATTCAGTCCCTTTACCAGAGGAGCGTGAGTTTGGTCCGCATAGCCGGTAGTAAGTCGGACCTGTTCCCAGTGAGGGTTGGACTCCGCCAGGGCTGCCCTTTGTCACCGGTTCTGTTCATCACTTTTATGGACAGAATTTCTAGACGCAGCCGTGGTGTGGAGTGTGTCGAGTTTGGTGGCAGGAGAATCTCGTCTCTGCTTTTTGCGGATGATGTGGTCCTCCTAGCTTCATCCAGCTCTGACCTTCAGCTCTTGCTGGGTAGGTTCGCGGCCGAATTTGAAGCGGCTGGGATGAGGATCAGCACCTCCAAATCTGAGACCATGGTTCTCGACCGGAAAAGGGTGGCTTGCCACCTCCGGGTCGGGGGAGAGGTCCTACCTCAAGTGGAGGAGTTTAAGTATCTCGGGGTCTTGTTCACGAGTGAGGGTAGGAGGGATCGGGAGATCGACAGGCGGATTGGTTCGGCGTCTGCAGTGATGCGGACGCTGAGCCGATCTGTCATGGGGAAGAGGGAGCTGAGCCAGAAAGCCAGGCTCTCGATTTACCGGTCGATCTACGTCCCAATCCTCACCTATGGTCATGAGCTTTGGGTAATGACCGAAAGAGCGAGATCGCGGATACAAGCGGCCGAAATGAGTTTCCTCCGTAGGGTGGCCGGGCTCAGCCTTAGAGATAGGGTGAGGAGCTCGGACATTCGGGAGGGACTCGGAGTAGAACCGCTGCTCCTCCGGATCGAAAGGAGCCAGTTGAGGTGGTTTGGGCATCTGGTCAGGATGCCTCCTGGACGCCTCCCCGGGGAGGTGTTTCGGGCATGTCCTGCCGGCAGAAGGCCCCCGGGTCGACCCAGGACACGTTGGAGAGGTTACATCTCCAATCTGGTCCGGGAACGCCTTGGGGTCCTGCCGGAGGAGCTGGTGGACAAGGCCGGGGAGAGGACGGCCTGGAGCTCCCTAATTGGGATGCTGCCCCCGCGACCCGGACCCGGATAAGCGGAGGAAGACGAAGACGAAGATACATTTTTGATCTATTGCCCAGCCCTACCAAATCGTGTAGTCTGTAGTACTCATAACTACATAGTTGAATTCTGTATGCAGATGACGTGAACGCACAAATGAATGAAAACGCTTAAAAACTGTGTTTGATTGAACTAAGTTATTGTTTATAGTAAAACGTAAGAAGTAAAACACTGCGTTCGCAAACACTCATATTTACGGCCAATCCATGTCATCGGCATTGATGATTGTCACTCATCGTATTGATGATCAGCAGCAAAAAACCTGATCGGAGCTCCCCTATTAGCTACCATCTAGTTTGTAAAACCTGTAGAGAAATGCAGCACATGCTGTTCTTCTGAACCAGACAGAAGTCTTTATGAGGTCCTTCCTCCTAACATTTTCTGTCACTCTTCTCTGAACAAGAGAAGCACAAGCAAACTGAAATCAAGTTTCATACTTTAACTCTTTGATGCATGAATTATGAAATCTTTAACCATGATTTTTTAAACAATTTTTTTCATTCATCTTTAGGTGTGAATGAAACAAATTTCAACAAATATCTTTTGTAACATTTTGTTAATTTACAAGTAGTTTATTACATGTCCAACTCAGTGGACAGCGTGCATTCTGAACATGAAATATGTTGGCTAAGCTTGACTTGCTGAAGCCCAAATGGAGGGGCTCACATGCAATAAAGTCTTCAACAGCTGTGCTTAATAGCAAAAATAAATAAATAAATAACAATTTTGAGTACCTGTCCACTGTAGTGACCATTATGCATCAAAGCGTTAAACAAAACACAAAAATGGCAAACCATCTACATTAAGAATTTGGTTTTTATGCTCAAAAGTACGGATAAACTGAAAAAGCATATAAGCATTAGGGGTAGACCGATATGTCGGTCGGTCGATATTTATCATATTTTTTAATACATTGGCCGATATTTGTCGTTAGTAAAGCCGATTTAAAGTCTGGCACATCCTTGGGCATCCCGGTGCTGCTGCAGAATTTAAATGTAGTTTTACGTTCATTAATAACATCTGAATATGTTGACCTCAATATTAAGTATTGTCACTGTGTTTTTTTTTTATTCATCAGCTAAAATGGAAAACGCCAAAACAGTCACTATTTCTGAGCCTTGAGTATGCCTTGTGGTTTTTATTTTAGACTGATTCTACAGGACTGAGGCGCTTTCACACACATGAACATGAAACACTTAGAAATAAACTTTTAACTTCTCAACTGAAAATAAATTTCACAAAAATTCTGACCAGGCAATAAAACATAATGGAATGGCTGAAGTAAAGCATCAATTATTTTTTCAAGCAAAAAGTGAGACGTTTAAATCTGGTGTGTCCACAATCTCCTCCAACCTCAATCGCTCTTCAGCACTTGTCTGAAAGCCGTTGTGCTGTGAATGTGCATTCACACTAGTTCAGGAAGGGGGGATTCATAACAGCTAATAATAGAGCATTTTTGTTTTGGAACAATGTTGGTGATTGGATCACTGGCAGTGAGGAAGTGTGATCCAAATCTTACTTGTAAAATAGCTTTAGTACTGTGATGTGCCCACGCTCCGTCACTCAAGACAAGAAATACAAGAAAATGTGACAGACAGTGAAAATAAACGCTTAATGTTCTGTTAGTGAATAAGCCTGGACTTTTCCTTAGAGAGCAACTTGAAAATAAGATCTCTCCTAAACTGTTTTGGGGCAATAGTGGTACTTTAAGAGGGAATAACTGACATCAAGATCTGTCCCAAAACAAATGGCCAGAGATAGTTGTTTACATACTTCCCTCACCAAAATAAACCTTCTCCAACCACAATTCATTTTGGATCTCAGACTCATTTAGAGAGGGAAATACATTAAGCAAAACTTTTGCAGAAAGCATTTCAGTTTTGAATAAAGCCACCAATAATAATAATAATAATAATAATAATAATATGATTAGGCTACAAGAAAGCCTTCGGAAATTTTTATACTTCAAGTGAATTGACATTATGAAATATAGACACAAGGGTGTCTATGGCTCTTTTGTTTTTCCTTTAAGTTACATTTGACTCAAAAACGTGGAATAGCCATTTATTTTTTCAGCTGGCATCAGGCGTTTGGCCTTTTAGGGAACTTGTTTAATATAAGGAACCCTGAAATGTCAGCTGTTTGCTGACATTGTTAAATTCTGTATGCAGATGACGTGAACGCACAAATGAATGAAAACGCCTATAAACTATTTTATTTAACTAAGTTATCGACTGTTTATAGTAAAATGTCAGAAGTAAAACACTGCCTTCGCACAAACTCAGGGCCGGCGGACGTCCTTGGACCCCCAGCTTGAAACGTTGCTGTGGAGCTGGCAGGATGCAGACGTACTCACCGCCGCTTATTGTGGTTCTGATTCGGGACGAAAAGAACGATTAGCAGCGGGGCTCCTCTTAACACGGTGTCTGGCGCATTTCCACTGAAGTTCCTCTTGATTTTGTGCAGGTGGTGATATCGGCTACTGGACTCCAAATGAGACGGGCTGGTTTAACGGGCAAGAACGGAAGGCTCGCCCGCCGTCTCTCTGCCGCTACAGCCTAAGCTAATTGGCTAGCTTAGCTTCAACAGCTCGATGCTAACGTTAACATCATGACATTTCGCGAAGTGTGGCCGACAGTTCCCTGCGCTGCTGCACTGCAAAGCATAATGTCCGGCTACTTTTTAAAACACGTCCTGAAA